GTATTTATAAACAGTTTTCTACGCAAGATACTCAGTGCCCGTTGGCCGGATACCATCAGCAACAGCCCCCTGTTGGAGAGGATAAATCAGCTTCCAGCTGAGGAGGAAATTAAGAAAAGATGTTGGAAGTGGATAGGATACACATTACGGAAATCATCAAACTGCATCACGAATCAAGCCCTAACTTGGAATCCTGAATAGGAAAGGAAGAGAGGACGATCAAGAAACACATTGCGTTGGGAATCGGAAGCAGATATCGAAAGAAGGAAGGGATTGCCCAGGATAGAGTTGGATGGAGAATGTCTGTGGGCGGCCTATGCTCCTTTCCAGGGAATGACAGGCGTAAGTAGGTTAGTTGGTTAGTAAGTTCAAAACAGACTAGTATAATCTGTTTCTGCTTCTATCTGAATTTATACGTCGAACTTCACGAATGATTGGTATATTTTACTAAGCTATTTTTAAATTGCACTTCAGAATTCGAATTGTGTGTGAACACCACGATCGTCATATGAGAGAAAATTGTCCAAATTTTGGAAAACGGTTTAATTTTTAATCAGAGTAATATTTATAGTACTTCAACATTTAACAAGCGCATCGTTATAAGTCACAGCAAACGTAACATTTGAATTATTACAAGTGTTTGAGAATTGAGGTTTACTCCAACTTTCCTAATGTGTTCCAGTTAGAAATGTTTTAAAAGATTATTCTGACAAGTAGAAAAATCCATAGTAAAGTCACTGCAGTCATATTGATAATATATAGTGTTATGCTTAATTTAATAAATCTGTGTCAATATATGGTGAAGAGATATTACACTGACAACTTCAAGTGAAAAGTATAAAAAAAAACATAACTACTAATGTCCACGATAGACTCATCCCTATTTAAATCAATATAGGTCCGATGCTAAATTCCTTCCTTTATGATTTCAGATCATTATAACTTTGTAGCCCATATAAAGTCAAAGACAGCAGTTTAATGTTTACCATTATTTCTGTGGTCACTGATTCTAAAGTCGATGAAATGATGAGTATGAAGGACAACCTGAAAATTATAACCACTTCTTTAAAGACATCAATATGCTTTTCAGTTATCAGTACAAATACTGTAACACATAATAAACATAAACAGATGATTTTTTCTTTATTAAATAGAATACAATAAACAAACATAATTGATTAGGCCTTGATTCACATCACGTATGCTTGATGAACACAATCTACATAACAAGTAGTTGCTTCATTTAATTAACTTTATATTCACTGTGTAATGACATGTTTATCTATTTTAACCATCTTAAGAACTAAATCTAATTACTATTCTACCTAGGTCATTATAAAGAACAAGCTATCAGTTATTACATTTTGAATTTCAAATAAAAATTCATGAGCTGATATCCTAAGTCTGATTAGTTCATTACTATAATATACCTTTACTATGTATATTATTGATATTCCTATTTTCACTTATTCTCAATGACCATCAGTAAGTCTATGCGGATAGCTCATGTAGTGATGTATCAAGATAAAAATTAGTTACGACTTCATATCATCCCATTAAAGACTTATTTAACTTCATATCCAATAGCAATATACTTTACTTTCAAAGTATTCTTATAATAACTTTTATAAACAATTAAGATAATTAAATTCACTTGGTGTTGTTTTACTTGTATCTTTCCATTGTTATTTAAGACTGCAATTGATCAGTCTCTTATTGGCATATGTGCATTCTGTGCGGATTAACTCGATATAGCCTTAAGTCACAACCATTTTAAGTAAAGATGGATAGTGGCAAACAGTAGAATCAGGGATCAGTAGCTAAGTGGATAACACGATGGCGATTAAAGCGAACGGTACTGGGTTCGAGTCTCAGAGTGAACATCAACTTTAAGATGTAGGTACATCCATCTGACGAGTCCCAGATAGGACGAAACATGCAACCTGGATTCCACTGCTAAACACTATCCATCTTTTCTTAGTTCAATAATTGTCTTTAATCCATACACATCTTCATATAAAAATAAGAAAAACGTTATCGTCCCAAAATGATAATCAAAATTTATGTCTGCGCCGTAACTTTAGTTTTTTTTCCTTTATACTGCATGAATTAGACAGATTAAATGTTTCAAATTCAATGACTAGTTTGATCCTGAAATTACATAACTCACCAATTCTTTGTTAAAGTATTATTTCAAGAAAAATGAAGCAGAACTTTCTAATTTAATTAGCCCTATCATGTTGGCTAACACAGATGATGTAATTTCTTTAGGATTTGCAGTAAAATGATTTAATTAGTTATACATTACAGTAGTGTACATATATATGTCCCGTGGTATTCGAACGTAAGACCTATTGATCTCGTGCACGAACGCTTAACCCCTAGACCACTGAACCAGCATCCACTGGCGTTAATGTCTAACTTCAAATATTCCATCCAGTGCTTCCAGGTTTTTCATGATGTTCTAGCATCAATCGACTCATGATCTCAACTATTAAATTACTATCACATCCACAAAAACCCCTTTGTAAATAAAATTGATTGAATTTTCATTTCTGATAAATATTCACAAATCAATTTAGGATTTATAGTTGCTGAATCACAGTTTCAAACATTCCTAGTTAGGTGAATGATATAATGCATTTCAAGAGACTTCCTGACATAAATTAGTGTTCCTTAATTTGTTGTATGTATTTATCTAATCTATTTATCCCTTTATATTAATCAGACATTAGTGCACTAGTTCATATTGTGTACTGTACAAGATCTAATTTAGATCAGTATTGAATAATAGTAAGTATTAAGTAAGCATAGGCTTTTGAATTCTTTAACAATGAACTAAAATTATGTGCTTTGTTGAGTGTGATCACATGATGTATACATGAATGGAATGATTTTAACTTCCAGTTTTAGAATCGTATTGTAGTTATTCAGTATTGCACAACAAATATGACTATTAAGACATAATTTTTTGTAAAGGAATAACAAAAGTGTATAGTTACTGGGTAATTGTTTTGTCCTAAAATGAACCTCATTAAGAAAATACTCATCTATGACCTTATAAGGATAATCATACATCCAGATTTTGTACATTATGGTAAGCATCACATCCTTATACCCGTGAGTAGAAATTAACGAGTTCATATTTTGAACTTTAGTTAAATTATTAGCATCATACAAACTACATTTGATCCAATTAACTGGTTATCGTCTTTCTCTTGACTTGACTCATTTCACAAACCATGGTAACTCAATGAGATTTATAGAAATACATTTAAAAACAAGTCACTAGTACGCATACGACTGTTAGATAGATAAATATTTTGTTTCTTAAGCACTTTATATTTCAAACATGTCTTTTTTGTTCGTTTTTGAAGTGTATGAATACTGAATATTGACGTTTATTATTACTTTGTTACACCAAAGAATCCATCTCGAACAACAGAAGTGATCTGTATCTGGTCATTATGAACAATAACAAAGCAGCACAGCTCAGATCAATATAATTGGATAACAAACCTAATATTAGTCAATGTTATGATCTGAAAATTAAATCTTTAATAAAAATTACATTTTATTTTGTTACATACATCATTTGAATTATTTTTTCTGGTAAGCGTTTTTTAACGAGCAAATCACCAAACTGCATCACGAGGCAAGCCCTAACTTGGAATCCTGAAGGGAAGCGGAAAAGAGAAAGGCCAAAGAACACATTACGTCGGGAAATAAAAGCAGATATGGAAAGGATGAATAACAACTGGAAGGAGCTAGAAAGGATTGCCCAGGACAGGGTTTGATGCGAATGCTGGTGAGCGGCCTATGCTCCTTCACGAAGAGTAACAGGCGTAAGTAGGTATGTAAGTAGTACATACATCATTTAGCCATGAAAGGAAGTAAAAAAACCCAATTAAAATCACTTTATCAAAAAAGATACACAGAATGTTGAAAACATTGTAGATTATTTTCTACCATTGTTGATATCAACACTAAAATGATTTAACCAATGACTAAATTGACATATTGAACAATTTCAGTTTGTTTCTTAAAAATCGAACACCCTACTCAGTAGCTAAGTGGATAACGCGATGGCACTTGAAGTGGACAGTATTGGGTTTGAGTCTCGGAGATGCAGGTACATCTATCTGAAGAGTCCTAAATAGGACGATACGCGCATCCCTAGTTCCACAGCTAACCACTATCCATCTTTGTTGATGAACATTTTTAAGTTTCCATGTATAACATGTTTTTGTGAAGCTATATTGATTATTCTCAGTAGGCATCACATGATCAACTCTGAAATCTTTTTATACTACTCACCCATTAATTGAATTCATCCTTTTAGTAAACATGTAATATATATATCATAACTAAAGGGTAATGTGATTTATCCGTTAAATGAAAAGGAAGTTTGAGTTTTCATGACTTATTAATTAGGCTGTTTTAGTAAGTATTAATAAACAGTGTCTTATGTTTATTGATATGAAGAGTAGGAAGTTTTGAATTCCTTGTAAGCAGTTGTCTATATGTAAACTCAAAAAGCTTACGTACCTTCGATTCATTGAATTCTTCCGTACCAGTGATACAGTTAAAATATTATCACTGAACTAGTTGTTTTAATAAAAGATTTGATTGACTAATACAACATGTACTTTTCCAGTGATCAATGTAATCAATGCCTAGAAAATTTAACCTTCATTTTCTTAAGTTTGTCATTATTGTCAAGAACATTTATGGCCATAAATAGGGTGTTTGGTTTATAAATTATCATACACTTTGTAATTTTAATATCATATTCTCACATGTGTTCGCAATCTTCCCTGTCTTCAAACACTGGTCGATAGATCCGGGAACATAATATATTCAATGCTAATACTCGATCTCATAAAACTCTAAGTTTAATTAGGTCAAATTAAAAGAAACGAATTTATCATATACATGGATAGTTGGAAAAACTATATAATTTACTCATGTATACAACTAAAAACAAGGGACGAACTTACCAATGATAAGGTTTTGTTTATTGCATAATTCATTATTTTGATCATGCATGTTTATACTGTCAGGAATTTGATCTTCTTTTGATCTGTTATAAGAATTAAATTTTTTATATCTCCCAAGTACATCAGAACAATTAACATTAGTCATATCAATAGGAACATCATCGGTAACGGAAGTTGAAGTTGGTGTATACACTTGTTGGACACGATTTTGCTCTTGAGCAGTGGATTTTGTCAACCATGATATCTGTAATCTATTCGATTTTACTGTTGATATTTTATCACCGTTTGCATTAATTTTAACTGTATTCGGAATATTACCATTACTATTATTAACACTATTATTGCTATTACTGATACTGTTACTAAGACTAAGATTATTTCTGTTACGTAAGTTGTCAACAAGCCGATTGAAGATTGATTTAATATTGTAGATGAATGATGAATTTCCTGTACATTCACTATTACTAATAATACCATTTGAAGAATCTATTTGACACTTATCTTTTACAGATAAATTAAGATGTTCATTATTGCATAATATTTGATTTGGTGTAAAAAAATGTCCATTAGATGAATATGATTTCGATAACGGTGGTGGTGGTGGTGGTAGAGGTGAAGGTGTTGTTGTTGTCGATGATGATAATGATGTTGACGATAAATTTTCACCTTCCATTTTTTCACATGTACATAATTTATGATTACGAAATTTTGAACAATATAAAGGTGATGTCATAGGTGTTATAGAAGTTAATGTTGAACTAGGTGACATGGATTCAGATGAATATAGATCATCATGGAAATTTTGTTTTATATGATCAATACAATGTAAATTTGATTGAAATTGTATATCATTTAATTGTGAATTTTTTGATCGATAAGGTAATACAGTAACAGATTTTGATGTTCTTTTAGATATTTGTACAATCTCATGATTATTTTTATCATGTTCATGAAATAGTTTACAATGTTTTTCATTCTTCCATGATTTTGAACGACAAATAGGTTTTTTAGTCTTAGTTTGACCAGTTGATAACATTATTATTATATAAATGTATGGTTCACAAAATGATACTTAATTGATTGATTTGACTAGAAGATATGAAAAAGTAAATTTTATTCGTTTACGTTTCGTTTTCTTTCTTCAAATTAATATTTTTAAAAAAGGTACATAAAATAATACCCGGTTACTAATCGTTAACCGTTAATTGATGAAACGTGAAATACATTTAGTATTAAAGAATTAACACGTTAATAAAAAAGAATATTTTAAGTTATTCATTTTAATAGTTCATATTGTGAAACGTATTCAGTAGACCTGTAGAATATTTGAATATTTAGGATATCTATAATATTTTGTTAGCAGTGATGGATAGTGGCTAGTAGTGGAATCCAGGACGCACGTTTCCTCCTATTTGGGACTCGTCAGCTGGATGTACCTGAATCTAAGAGTTGACGTTCACCCTGGGACTCGAACCCAGTACCATTCGCTTCAAACGCCATCGCGTTATCCACTCAGCTACTGAGTCCTGATAGCCATTTGCTTGTGCAATGGGGTGAATTTAGGACGAAACGCGCGTCCTGGATTCCACTGCTAGTCACTATCTATCACTGCTTACAAAAAGCTTGTAAATTAAGGCAATATCGAGGCATACGCACAGTATGCACATATGCCAATAACAGACTGGTCAATTGTAGTCTTAAACCTCAATGTGAAGATACAAGCCAAACAATACCAAGTGAATATATATATATATATATATATATTATATATATATATTACTTTGATAATAATCACTGGCCTACTTGAATATCTGGGTTACCTGTTCCTAATGTCCACATATCTCAACAAGTTATCTGTCTTTAGTTTCATACACATAGTTCCCTTTATCATGTTGACAAGAGCAAGAACAAAGGTTTTAGCAGAATAGCATGAATTCATTTTATTGGTTCTTGTCAGCTGCTTACAACCTGTGATATTTAAAAATCATAGTTACATAATGGGTTTAAATTATTTACATGAAAGATTTCAGTTGAAAGTTATGTTGAAGACATAGTAGTATAGTATAGCAATATTTTAAATATATAACTTATATGAAAGAGCATTCTACAACATTGGTTGTGACAACAGTTCAAATGGCCAGAAACAAGTGAATAAATATTGATAGCAATAAAGTAAGTAGAGCTCATTTGATAAAATAAGATTATTAATTTGGAAGATAGTTGAGATAAAAGCCAATTATGTAATAAATGCAAGAAGGCGTTTTAAAAAAATTTAAGATGTCGCGAAAGAATTTTTGTCACTAAGGCAAGAAAAGATTAATAATCGTCTCCTTTTGAATAAATAAACCAGGTTTTCGACGCCTGATAGCAATGGCTTCAGCAAACTTCAGAAGATTGGAGTTTGGCTGCTTACTAATCACCTTGAACGATTAAAAGGTATCGACTTAATGTCTTATGTCAAAGGAGATGTTTGGTGATTACACTACTTAAAGTCTTTCTTTCTCTTGTTCTAAGGCTTTTTGGAACATGTCTTTAGTTCGTCTTAACACATCATTATGTCTATGAATCGCATAATTTATTTAGGCGCGTTTATGGAAATTTTACAATCTTTCACCGTGCAACTTACAAAAAAGTACAATCAGAGACATTGTGATAGATGTCAATATGCAATGAAAAGAATATACATTATTCGGATGTTGATTCTTGAATTGCTAACATCTAACTGATAATCACTCAATATATTTTGCAAAGATCGATCAAGAAATAAGAAAAGGGAACTTGTTGAAATACTTTCTATATTTTGCCAAAAATATAATATTGAATAAAACCACTAATAATAATAATACAAAACTCTTTGTTTAATATAATATTGTCAATTATAGTAATGAATACTTGGTGAGACTATACTTTGTGAACGACCTTTGAGCGACGCTAGACTAACCCTGAGTATCCACCTAATAACTAAGATCAAACGAGGGTTATAAATTATTGTGAGGAATTTGGATGATGATTTACAGTTAGGGTTTTCATCACAAAATGACATCAGCTATAATGCCAAAACTCCATTTAACTTAATGGATGAGTGAATATTGCGCCAAAATCCTAAATCTATTATCTTATATATGAATGATTCATTCATAAATTTTAGTCTCACCGTAATCAACACTTAAATCATCATAGAACAAATATAGAAGAATAGTTACCTGTACAATAGATTATAAACATTTTATATAAAACACCTAATAGTATACTGAAATATCATTTATAATTAAACAATTGAAACAATTTTAAAGTAAGTCATTTTATGTTACTAAATACACGATCTAAATATTAAAGTATTAAACAGGCTTTCAGAACTATTAATTATTATGTGAACGTATTCATTTCATTCATGATAGTCATGATTAAAAGTTCAATGAAGTCATAATACGTGTTTAAGTAGTTACAAAAGGGATAACATTTGGTAATAACGAAAATTTCGTCCTTTAAAAGATAAAAAAAACTGTCTTAATTTTGATCATGAATATGATATTGAATATGTAGTTGTTGAGATGTTTGTCTACTATCTTGGTTTAGACTTACCTTAAATGGTTGGGGATAAATAAGTGAAAGAGTTAATTCCTGATGTCAATGATTGGTGAATCAATTATTAATTTAAAATATTCCAGTTATTCATACTTTAAAAGGGCTTTAATCGTGCTTATTTTTGTGCTAAACATCATATTTGTTACGCAATCTTCACGTAACTAAATGTTATTTCGTCTATTTTCAGATTATCAATTCATTGAACCAAATCTTAAAAACTATGTTAATTCTTCAAATTAAACACAGTCTCTCTTATGAAATAATTTCCGCCTAATCGTCTTTTTGCTTTCTATATTTGTGTTTGAACGATCTTCGGTAAGTGAAGTACGTGATAGCGTTTAATGAGAACGGTACGGAGTTTGATTCACGGAGTGAGTATCAACTCTTGGATGTAAGGCACATCCAGCTTATGAGTCCAAAATAGGACGAAACGCGTTTTAGTTTTCACAGTTTGCCACCATTCATCTCTGCTAACATTTGTTATGACTTAAGACAATATTGATGAGATCTGCACAGGATGCACATATGCTAATTAGAGACTGAACAGTTGCAGCCCTAAATGTCAATGGGAAGATTCAAACACCAAAATACAAACGACACTACACATGTTATATATATATATATATATCACTGATTGAAATCATGAGTCAGTTGAAGCTAGACACCTTCTGATAATAATCACCTGCTCACTAGTGACTGACTTCAGGAGATACTCATGGAGTTCTAGTGAGAAGCCGTTACCAGTGGAGTTCAACCAGGTCTGTTGTGAGATATCAACTCACTGAAGGCTGATGTACGGTGGTGCAACTTTGTGGATTGGTTGAAGTTAGACGATAACACCATCAGATGCCAGCCAGTTCAGTGGTCTAGTGGTTAGGAGTCTAGCGCGGGACTGATAGGTCCTGAGTTCGAATCTCGCGGGGGGCAGGATCGTGGGTGTGCACTGCTGGGACGAAACGGCCGTCCAGTGCTTCCAGGTTTTCCACGGTGGTCTAGCTTCAACTGACTCATGATTTCAATCAGTGAACTTTCTAAAATTTCCACAAAACCCCTTCTGATATATACAAATACATAATAGTGATAATTTCATAGTCACATCTTTAGTCGCCACTTTTGTTATTATGTTTCAACTGTATTACATTTCAATACGATTAAGGTGGCAAGCGATTGATGAAAAACTAGCAGATCCCTAGTGGAACTGCTAAAGATTCTCGTACAGGAATAAAACAACTTTCTAATATCTGACTGTTTACACTGGTTATTGAACTGAGACTAGTATAACATTTAAAAAATTCACAAATCTCATATAACGAAGACGTATTTATTCTAATGTTATACCATTGGTGCCCATAATTGTTGAGTGCAACAAAATTCATATTACTGAATAAAGCTATTATTATTATTATTATTATTATTATTATTATTATTATTATTAACAGAAACGTGGTACATGATTTGATTTCAGTGTGACAGGATTATTTTACAATGAAGCTCCATTGTTTAGAACAAGGTCATTAATCATATTTACATGATTATTTTGAATTCTTAATTTATGAATTTTATTCTTAAAGTACAATTTTATGTCATTGCAATTTACTCCATTCTTCAAGTGATTCATTTATGTATGACTGTTTTTACAACACATAGGTAAACGATAACAATTTCACGGTGTATGCTACTTATAGTGACAGAAATAAGTAGTATGTAACATCAGTCGGAAATAGAATGCCTGGTAGCAGAGTATTGAATTGAGGAGAACGAAAGAGAAATCGGAGAGGAATAAAAATAACACAAGAATTAGAAGAATAATGAAATATGTAAAGGAAAATACAAAGAACATGTGCAAATAATGTATTTAATGTATAATTGTTGTATTTCACAAATACACTGTATAGTTTTGCGTATAACAATAAATTGATTTTCCCTATCCGGGTTCTCGTTCACTACAGTTTGACTGACTGTTTTAAACAGCCTAGTAAACTGAAACATCTGATCAATATGTTAGTTAATATTGTATAAAAATCAATAAATTGAGTAGATAAGGAATCATAACTTAAATATAAAGTTAATGACTAATGAGTAGGTTAACAAAATAAATGTTCTTAATGTTCAGATGAAGATGTAGAATGTCTGCCTTTGTCTCAAAATTATTAATAGTGGAACATGTTACGTGTGAATTGGAATCACTGATGTCTATGAATATAACTATTGAATACTGGAGAATATCTATAAGTGATTGTATAATATTTTTCAAGTGTAGGCTCTCTTGATGGCAGTTCTATCAAAGCTTCTTCAGTTTGTATACCTCTCTAGTTAAAATTATCAAACTGTTTAAGTCTTCGAGATTCATTCCTTTTTTCTACTTCATCTATATCTGAAAGCGTTTTTGGCATTACTAGTTAATCAGTTAATCAATATCCATCAATTAAATTAAAGACAAAGTATGAATGA